ATATATATATTTCGAATTATTATTTTTGGAAATTATATATTCATATACCTTTTTGAATAATTTTGATAAAAGGTTTTGAATATATAATTTATATATGTGCTTGTACGATTTTAATGCAGATAAAATCATTTATCATTAAATTTTATAGGATATTGATATTTTTTTCTATAGAAAATCTGTTCAAGGATGAAAAGTTTTTTCAACGTGTTATGACACTGTAACACGTACTATCGTATTATACGTGCTTACATGACTGGAATGCGGATAAAATTTCTTATTTTTTAGCATTATATTATATGAGGGTTATAGAGTCTGTTAGGATAAAAGATATAATGGTATTGACAAGGTTCTTTCACATATTTATTTTACGTACGGTATAGTTCTCGAAAATAATACTTTCTTTCACCACTCATATATACTTCAAATTTAATTTATATCTCATCAAATTGCAATTTTTCAACGCAGCCAATTGTCACACCTGTCAATTTCTGCAATCGAAGTTTTAGAAGCTTTACGTAGTAAAATAAGCATATACATCATCGATAGCGGATGGTGGTTGAAAGGAAGATGCGCGCAAAACGTCCACGCCCATTTCTTGTTGTCTATTCGAAATATCGGGTAAATCATCGATTTGAATTTTAGATAATGCCGAATTCTTGACATTTTTCGGGATCGTTTGCATTTAGACAATTCGCACACGATATGATTTGCGGGACGCATTTTTGCTCGAATATAAAAAATTCAAGGATTTATTCTCCGGCCAGCTGGTACGGTCATCCTCTGCCGTCCTCGGCGCTTTTAAAGAGCTTTACAAGTCTTTTACAAAGGGAATCAGTTGATCGAACGGATTATAGCTTGCCAATACGCCGGCGGCACTAGTCATATATATATCGCGGATAATTAAAATCTACCTAAAAATTAACGAATCCATCGATTGCGAACTTCAACCATTGCGATCCCTTGTAATTGGTTTTAAAACGCCGAAACGTCATTTCGAAAACATGTTTTTCGTAAAAAAACTTTTTTATATATTCGAATTATTGTATTCACTCAAAGTAGCTTTGAAATCATTT